CGGTAGTGGGGGTGTGGGAGTGGGTTGGTGGGGGTTGGTATGGATAAGAAATAGGGTTGGGGAAGTTGAAAAAGAGTTTTGAAAAATATTTTCCCTTCTCTTGATAGGGAAAATATTTTACTTCAATTAAAAAAAATGAGTTCACGAGAAAAATATTTTTTAAAATATTTAAGCTAACCAAACAGAAAATTACCTTCGTGCCAAACACACCGTCCAATCAAATACCCCACAATTATTACCTTAAAACCTGGTAAAAGGACGACGCGTAAAAAGAAGGATGAATATGTTCCATTTCTTCTATCTATGGTATTTGATTCGCCTCCAAACCCACCTTCACGTCTATTTGAACAATTAGATCTATAGTAGTATCTCTTTTTGCCTCACTAGATGACGTCATTGACATAATATTGAGAGACTATCCCCCCTGGTTGGCTCAGTTACAGAAGGATCTATTCTCTTTTTGAATGAATATTAGAATCTTTGAATACAAACATTAAATTTTGTGTAGAGGATAAGGAAGCACATCGCCGCGTCATCCCATCCATCCAGTAGTTAAAGATGGTCAAAATATAGGAAAGTAAATAAATAAGGAAGTTATATANATTTTAAAACGAAGGCCTATCAAATTGACACCTCTTAAACTAATACATATGTCTCCGCCACAGCTCCACAGATTTGGTGGAGCTATTATTCTTGCGTTGTATTTTGGTTAATGCTCCTAGATATCAGAGCTTGCCAATTGTCTTTCCGTATTTTGTATAATTAAAAATGAATTATTTCGGTTTCTCTTTAACATCGCCATGATTTGATTAATTTTCGAAAAAAAATAAATATCATATAAGATTCATTAATAAAAATTAAAGCACGATTATATGCATACTTGCATAGGACTGCAAAAATCTCTTAACATCTTTACTGCTTAAAATGTGATGTATCAAGGGTGAACATGAAAGATAGCTAGAATTTCATTTCACTATTCTACAATAGCATAAAATAAATTAAGCAAAGAACGAAGATATATAAATCACATGAGTAAAAAGATATTGAGCTGGGACTCAAGAGTAGAGTTTATTTTGAAGATTAAGTATCCGATAAGAGAAATCTAAGTCATGTGAGGAAAGATATCTAATACCTTGAGATTTGCTACTCAAGATGTCGAACTAATTTATTATCAATTGTAGTAGCATAATAGGTTTGAGAGTTGAGATTGTGGGTGTTAATTACATGTTCGCTTATAGTCGTTTTCATATTCTCGAGACCAAAAGAAAAAATTTAGTGCTTTGTTATTTTTAAACTTAATATATAAAATATATTTTTAAAATATAAATTTATTCGGTACGATTCGATATTTTTTGGTTTATTTTTTAAAAATTAAATACCTACTAATTATTCTGTATGTTTATAGATTTATACAAAAAAATTAAGGTTTTATCAAAAGAAACCTAATAATCGGTCATGTACGATTCGGTTTGATTGGTTTACTCGATTTTTACAAATTCAATGACACACCTACTATCATGGGCGGATCTAGCAGCAAAAAATAGTTGGATTTGCCGGCGCCTTGCTCTCTTGCTTCTCTGGCTAACGCTTTCTTTTTGCTTTTACTTGCCTTCCTTATCTTATAATTTGGACATGCATATGCTTTTTATATAATTATTTTGAGTGATTATTACTGCTATCTGACTTGAGTTAGACAAGTAGAAAATGATCTTATACCACTAGTGACCGGCCTATTTATTTAGTATCTAGTACTAGGACTAGTAAAGGATATGCACTAGTGGGCGGGGCTTCTTCGATCACAGACTTTCAGCAATAGGTTGATCGCACAACAGATTTAGCCGTTCGACGATGGGTTGATAACAAATACAATATTTGTGACGTGCAACATATATACTAATATATAAGAGAAAACGGACTCAAATTTTAACAAATTGTAGATCTAAATCCATAAATTTAATATAAAATGAATGCAGTGCTAAATCTTAGTTACCCAGCCTCATACTTCCTTCCCCGGTGTCTCTTTCCACTCGTGCATGAGGGGGCATAAATCTGTAATAAGGTTATAAATTGGCATCTTTTTGGATTGTGACTGGTAAACGAAACCTTTTTTACCTTATCACTACCAAACACTTAATTTCTAATTCCACAACATAAACTGAGATGGAGCAATATTAGTGAGGGAGGTTAAAGTAGAGAAGGTCAAGTCTCGAACCAAATACCTAAACAATTCAAAGAGGACCAGTGAAGTCAAGATACCTCCAATGCACAAATGTGAAGCTACCCTCCATCCATTAATCCGCACCTAAGTTTAATTTAATTTTGTTCGTTACGAGATGCAAAATTGAAATTCGCTTGTTCACATTGTTAATTCTAAACCGGAATAAAGAATGTTATAGTAGATTGACGGACAATGTAAACTACAAGGTTATATACAAAGGGGTCCAGTCTGGTCTAATTTAATTTGTGTCACATCTCTTGGGGCGCATATTCGAGCATATCACGTGCACGCTAAAAGCAACAAAATTAGTCGACGAGTCAAAGTACAAGAGCTTGCTTTGGAATAAACTGATGGTTAATCCAAAAACAAAAGATTCTGCCTTATTGATTTGTGAGAATTATAATGGAAATATATATATATATATATATATATATATATATATATAGTTAATTATTTACGTTATTTATAACATTATCTAAGTACCAAGTTGCTTACCATTGTTTACACGTATCATTTGGCACTTACTATGTAACTACAGATGTTTAATTGTAATTGACTTTTAAGTACTCAAATAGTGTAAATACATATTCTACACAGTGTATAAAAGTTAATTTCATATAAAAAGCTTCGAAGAACAAAGGTTCCAACTAGTTATAATATCTCTATTTTTAAAAGATTAATTTAAAGTTACTTGTAATTACTTTTTAATCTACATGATTTTTTACACCGTATAGAACTACTGAAAAGAAAAAGTAAAGGACCTTATCACCCACATATTTCTGTGTATATAAGTATATAGTTCCTTGTCTATACTCGTCACTAGCAAGCAACAAAGGTAATCGGTACATGAACTCTAGTTGTTCACTTGGAAGATCCATCTTGTCGATATAACAGAGTTCCAATCTTATTTCCGCTTAACTAATTTTTGGTTTCTTGCAGATCATTATAAGAAGATAAAGATTGGAAATGGAGGAGGAGAAAGCAACAGAGAGACTATACAGTGCACAGGAAAAAGTAAAGATGACGAAAGGAGGCTGGACTTTGGATGAAGACTCCAAACTCATCCATTACATCTCCCTACTTGGTCAGGGACGCTGGGATTCCTTGGCTCACTTTGCCGGTACTTATACTATATATAAACTCTCTTTATTTCATAACTTATGTGACATTAGTTTCATACTACTCCCTCCGTCTCAATATAGGATTGAAGCGTACAGGTAAGAGCTGCAGATTAAGATGGATGAACTACTTGCGGCCGAATTTACGACGAGGAGAACTTACTCCTCAAGAGCAGCTTCTTATTTTACTCCTTCATTTTCGCTATGGAAATCGGTGAGTGTATATATATATATATCCATCCTCTCTTCCCTTTTCTTTTTACTACAAATATTACTTTTGTGGTGTGTTTGGTACAAAGAAAATATTGTGACATTTTTAAATTTTTATCTCAATATACAATAAAAAATTTAATCGAACAGACTATCAGAAAAAGAAAAGAAAAAAAGAGATAAGCGAAAAAGCGTAGTCTATTTTCTCTTTTTAATGAAAAAAGAATTTGCAAGGAAATCATTTTCTTAATGTTTGATTGTTAGAAAATGACTTTCTTGCGTACCAAACAGACTCTTATTACTTTGATTTTGACCGTATACTTACCTGCAACTCCTCCCCCACAACTGGGGGAAAAAACAGATGGGCAAAGATCGCAGAACACTTGCCAGGTAGAACAGATAACGAGGTTAAGAATTACTGGAGAACAAAAGTTCAAAAACATGCAAAACAGCTGCATTGCGACGTCAATAGCCTACAGTTTCGAGACTTCCTTCATTATCAATGGCTGCCCAGGTTAACTGAACAAATACGTGCCACGTCATCGTCTCAAGAACAACTCATGTCCTCTTCTTCTTCTTTTACCTTTCACAATAACACTGAAGTATTAATATTGGAGAATTCTACTTTTCTTCAAACTGGGATTAATGGATCGACTAACATCACATGTCCTATAAACCACACTCCAAATGTTGCCGAAGTTACGTCACTAATAGATGATAATATTTGGAACCTCTCGAGCGGTAACAGGACATCTGGATTTGAAGATGGATTTTCTGATCTTTCAAGCACAGATATGGCGGTTTATTCTAATTCTCAGGATCAGTGTCATAGTTGGGCAAGTGCAGGATCAGAAGTATTATTACCAGATGAAACGCTAGGATTGAATGATATGGACCTTTGGCTCTTTCCTTAGAAGGGTTGTGATTTAGTTGGCTAGCATTATCTTCAGTGTTCTCTTTTCCATGTACATAGTATTTTGCCATAGAAGGGGAGCCTTGGAGCAACAGTAAAGTTGTCTCTACGTGACCTATAAGTCACAGGTTCGAGTCGTAGAAGCAGCTACTAATGCTTGCATTAAGTTAGGATGTCTACATCACACCCATTAGGGTGTAGCCCTTCCTTAGATCCTGTGTGAACGCAGTATGCCTTGTGCACCTCACTGCCCTTTATAGTATATTATCACAAATGTTATGTTTTTATATAATGCTCATCAACAAGCAATTGATTTAAGGGTGTACTCTCTCTATTCCACTTAATTATATGACAAAGTTTGAGTTTGCCGGAGTTTAATGACAAAGTTTGAGTTTGCATGGAGTTCAAGAAAGAAAGGCTTTTGAAACTTGTGATTTAGAATATATCATGGATCATTTAATCTAGAATATTTAGAATATATCATAGATCATTTGATCAAGGGCAAAATGGAAAATATATCTAAAATTAAATTATCTTTAAAATTAAAAAGTTGTCACTCTTTTTGAAACAAACTAAAAAAAATTAAGTCACATAAAATGAAATGGAGAGAGAATTTATTTTCTTTAACAATCCAAATTTGACAAGAGTAGGTTGCTCTAGTGGTAAGCGCCCTCCACTTCCAACCAAGAGGTTGTGAGTTCGAGTCACCCCAAGAGCAAGGTGGGGAGTTCTTGGAGGGAGGGAGCCGAGAGTCTATCGGAAACAGCCTCTCTACCCCAGGGTAGAGGTAAGGTCTGCGTACAAACTACCCTCCCAGACCCTATTAGTGGGATTATACTGGGTTGTTGTTGTTGTTATTTATTAACTGGAAACCATATGATAACCTATTTATAAGGTATGTGAATGCGTTTTGATATTATCCTACATATTTTTGGGAAAAAGTTGTTGAGATAATATAACTATATTAACAAAAAACAAAAGCAGAACAAAAATAACTTATCAAATAAAATATTTATTGGTTGTGTGAATAAAGTCTCTTATTGGTAGTTAAATAAGATTTGGAACATCCATATAAGGTGTTAGGCATTCTTAATGGTTTGAGGCTTGTTGAGAAAAATCATGGGGCCCAAAGCGGATATATCACACCATGTAAGAGTATCTTCGGGCTGGTTTAGCGCAATAACTGGTATCGGAACCCAGATTCGACAAAACGAGTATGGCGATGGTTGAGTGAAGTTGCGACACTCGATTTGCTTACCCTTACAAGCTTGAAGACGCGCACACACAAGAAGGAGTTGGTTGCGGGCTTCAGTTGCCATAAATACATCTTTGGCACATAGTGAATCTCAGGATTGAGTACTCGTGGATCGTGGTAATGGGCCACATGTAACTTAGTTCGAGAGAGAGACCCGTAGATTCTAGTGATAGTCCACATGGAACTTAGTTCGAGGGGGAGATTATTGGGTGTGCGAATAAAGTCTCGCATTGGTAGTTGAAAAGATTGAGAATCTACATATAATGTGTAGGGATCTCTTAATTGTGTGAGCTATTATAAGAAAAACTGTGCAGGCTTGGCTTAAAACGAATAATTTCACACTATGTAAGAATATCTTTGGGCTAGTTTAGTCTAGTAATATTATACTGTGGAAAGTCACTGCCTTGAAAATGATTTCGGCTGACTAGGGTGATCGATGAGACCGTTCGTTGCTCAAGGTTCAACAACACTCCCAAACACGTACACTCATGGCTTGAAGTTAAGAGTTTGGAGAAATACAATTGTCCAAAAACTTATTGAAAAGAACTAGAGAAAGAGGGGAATGTGTTTTTTGTGTTTTTGTAGGATAGAAATCAAAACCTGTATATATAGGTAAGGAGGCAACGGTTAGGCACTACTAGAAATTCGGTAAAAATCGACCAACGTTGGTCGGTAATGGCCAAAAATTGACCAAAACGTGACCATTTACGTGTGGACGATATTTTTGTGGTCGGAAAGGAATACCGACCAAAGTTGGTCGGAAATTACCGACCAACTTTGGTCGGTCAATTAAATTCAAAAAAACAAATATTGCAAAACAAACTAACCAAAGTTGGTCGGTATTTTAGTTATGTAATAAAAAGATTCACCATCTGAAAATTGAACCGGGGTCTGTACTGTGGCAGGATACTATTCTACCACTAGACCATTGGTACATTTTGTTTTAAGACTGTCTTTTATTTGATTTATACTCTTTAATTGTATTTTCGCACGAAAATAACCGACCAAAGTTGGTCGGTTTTATTAAAAAGTAAGATTACCAATCAAAGTTGATCAGTTTTTTTAAATGACCCGCCGAATTAACCGACCAATTTTGATCGGTTTTTTTAATATTAATATTTATTTATTTTAATTGAAAAATCGATCAAAGTTGGTCGGTTTCTTGAAACATAAATTTCGCGGGACTCAAAAATAGTTTTCCGCATTTTTGCGCCAAAGAAAACCGACCAAAGTTGGTCGATTTCGTAAAAAAAAAAATTAAAAAAAAAAATATTTTGAAAAACCGACCAACTTTGGTCGATTTTTTGGTCGGTTTTTTGACCGACTAAAGTTGGTCGGTCGACCTTGGTCGGTTTTTGCCGAATTTCTAGTAGTGAGGTTGTATAGTCAAAATCTAAAACGATTGTAACATTAATTATATTGCGTTTAACATTAGGAATAACATAATAATTGTTGGTATACTCAACAATAATTTTTCCAAAGCCAAATTTGGATTAGGCTTCATGCAGTTTTGCCTCCTGAACCATTTTCACATAGCTCTTTACGAATCAAATAATAGGACAACTAATTATAAAGTGAATAAGAGAACAAAAAAAAGTGACTGTTCGTAATCCATGAGGGACAGTTTCCTTCTAATAATAAGACAAAAGAAGTAAGAGGAAAAAGGGAACCAATTTGAAAGCTCTTTCTATGTATTTGGGACAGTTTCAAAGAGAGCTCTTTCTATGATTGACCGTGTATAGCTTTTTTATATCTTCAGGTAACAAAATGGGGAGAAAATGCTTGTTTTTGAATTTTCGGAGGTGCTTAATATTTGAACTTTAATGACGTACAGTCTTAAATGTTGTAAAGACAGAAAATTTTGAACCCAATCTAAATTGGTGTATTATCTTGAGAAAGAAATATGTGTACAGTGTAGCTAATTTATTCAATTTACTCTAAGTACTACTCCCATACTTGTCCCATATCTATCCATGTGTAATTTGTCCTAATGTGAATAAAAAATATATACAAGAAAATATAAAATACAACTAAGGAATCTCTGCAGTCAAAATATTCTTTTGCTATTATGGACAGCTGGATTGTAAATCACTTGACATAATCTCCTTCAAGGATAGAGTTGTCATGTCACACTCCCATTATATTTGAAAACAAAATACTACTCCACTTCAGATATCTCAAAAAATGCTTTTGTACTTTGTGAGTCCTAAATCATTATCTTCACTTTTATGTTTTCATTTGTCAATCGACAGTGATGAATGTCGATCAATTCACTGATTAACTTCATACCTTGAAATCAAGTCTTAGATTATCTTTTATCCTTTCTTCAACACCCCCCGTCAAGTTGGAGGGGTTTGAGAAAACACCCAACTTGCCCAGTAAGGTGTGATACTTAGGTCCAGTGAGTGATTTCGTGAATAAATCGGCTAGCTGAGAGTCAGTTCTGATGAAAGATAAGAAAATAAGACCGGAGATGAACTGTTGTCGCACAAAATAATAGTCAATTTCAACATGTTTCGTCCTCTCATGAAAGACGGAATTTTTAGCTATATGAATATCTACTTGACTGACAAAGTGGAGTGAAATCGGAAGTGTGATTGGTGCTGAAAGATCATCGAAGAGGCGGACTAACCAGGTAAGCTCCGCCATAACTCTCTATATCAATCGATACTCTGCTTCGGCGGAACTGAGAGAAATTGAGGCTTGTTTCTTAGATTTTTAGGAAATTGGTGAAGATCCTAATGAGATGTAGAAACCACTCACTGATCTCCGAGAATCTGGACATGAACCCCAATCCGAATCACAAAAATCTTGGAGTTTAAAAGATGGTGATGCAGTCATGAAAAGCCCAAGTCCTGGGTCTTTAAGAAGATAACGAAGTACTCGGAGAGCAGCTTCGAGATGTGGTTGTCGCGGATCCTGCATATATTGACTGAGATGTTGTATTGTAAAGGAAAGGTCTGGTCTTGTATGAGTAAGATAATTCAACTTTCCAATCAAGTGACGATATAAGGTTGGATCTTGAATGACTTCTCCAGTGTGTGCAAGAAGTTTTTGTGTCGGATCCAAAGGTGAAGAAGCTGGCTGCTTATCCATACAGTCAAACTCTTTTAGCAAATCTAAGGTGAATTTGCGTTGAGATAGAATCAAACCAGTTGATTCTCGAAGAACTTCCATTCCTAAGAAATAATGTAAGTTTTCGAGGTCCTTAATCTTGAATTCTTGATCAAGAAAGATTTTCAAGGCATTCAATTCCTCAATGTCATTACTAGTTAGCACGATGTCGTCAACATAAATTGCTACAATAGAGATTGAAGTTCCTTTCTTCTTAAAGAATAAAGAGTAGTCATTTAGGGAATGTGAATAACCTTTGAAACTAAGAGCACCTGTAAGCTTTGAATACCACTGTCTTGATGCTTAACGAAGTTCATAAAGTGACTTCTTTAACTTGCACACATGTCTGGGTGTTGGAGAGTTCATACCTGCTGGAAATTTTATGTATACCTCTTCATTTAAATCTCCATGTAAGAAAGCGTTGTTAACGTCCAATTGATATAAGCCCCAGCCCTTTTTGACTGCAATAGCTAGAAGACATCTTATTGTGGTCATTTTAACCACTGGAGAAAATATTTCATTAAAATCTATACCATCATGTTGCACATCACCTCTGATTACTAATCTTGCTTTCAGTCGTTCAATACTACCATCTGAATGATGTTTAACTTTGTATACCCATTTGCATGGGAGGGCCTTTTTATCACCAGGAAGTTCAACAACTTCTCAAGTCTCATTCTGAACTAGTGCCTCAATCTCCTTCTGCATTGCTTCTTGCCATCCTGGGTGATGAGCTGCCTGGCTGAAGGTTAGTGGTTCTTGAACATTTGAAAGTGAATTTAAAAATGACTTATTTGAAGTTGAGAGGGCAGAAAAGGAGTAAGAAGCAGTGTTATCGGAGAAAGAAAACATGGCGTGCTAACATCAGTTAATTGCACTGCATTTGTATTGTAGTCACTTAGGTAAGAGGGAGTTTTGTGAATCCGAATAGATTTTCTGAGTCCAACTGGTGAGTTCTTAGGA